GTAATTTTGACGCCAGCTCATATAACCCCAATGTAACCCCAATACAATCCCTATATAATCTTAATAAAACCTCAGTATAAGTCTCACAGCATCTCCGACCTTGGCAATCTGCTTTTCGCAAGGCTGTCAGCCGCAGACCGAGCGGTGGCGCATCATCTTTTTGTGCTGAATGCATGGGAGATCCAGCTCGACAAACGCATGCAACGGATGGACCTATCGGAGCCTCAGACTGAATGGTACGCTGGATTTGTGCTGGTTTGTGCCAACATGGAACTGCTGCTTGTTGGTTTGGCTACAGGAGCTGGGAGATGGATCACACTGGCGGAACGTCACTCATCAGGGCGGACCGTGGCGGATGGAACTGACCAGGCTGCGTTTGAGTTCGTGTGCCAGCAAGAGCGTACAGGGTAGCGCTAGAGATGTCGTACTCCGTTGCATCTCTAGTACACGTTCCATTTTGGTTCATTTATGGTATGACATGGCGGAACAGGTGGATGCCGCCCCCGGATGGCACGCTTGACTTCGACTATGTTTCTGCAAAGAGACCAGACCCCAATCAAGCTCCGATCGATCTGCCCAACTTCGCTCGCATGTTGCAGCCACTGGGCCAACAGCAGCTTCCAATAAAATGGAGCTGGGCATAGACATGGAGTGTCTAGTAGACAGGAAGTGGTTGTTCTGTGCATTTGCATGCCCCAAGTGTACAGCATCAGGTTGTTGGCAAGCTTCGAAGAGGCAGCAACGGAGTTGTTGATTTCATGGTCGAGCAGCAGACCCTTTGGCAGCTTCTTAGGGAGTATTGGTGTAGACACTTTTGTTGGAACATGAAGCTATGAACCTGGTGAGGCGCCGCTGGCAAAGTTTTTGGCATTAAGAAGGTGCGCGCATCGACTCTTCTTGACCAGCGTGCAACTGCGTGAGCTTCTGTGTATCTTGCCTAGCTCAAAGACAACGATCTTATGTTTTGTTGCGCTAGGATTGCCTGATTCCAGAGGCACTTGCAAGTTGGTGGACACCAAGCTTCAGCTCACGGTTTTGCTGTACTTCCAGGCAAGCAGTTCAACGGCTCATGCAATGCTTCCGGCTGTCAGAGGTAGGCCATGTGCTGCTGTGGTGCCGATCAGGTGGTAGACATCTTCAATGCAAAGGCTTTTCGAGTGCTATTTGATTCGGCAGCGAATGAGCAGCTGAAGAAGTGCTTGGGATACGTGGTTGCTTGGACTGATGGCTTTTGCTTCGCCTGCAGCAGGGCTTAGTGTCCACATGGCAAGCGACGCTCCAGGTGACATTCCTCTTCCTTCAACCTGAGGGCTTTCATGAGCTCGCCTTGGATCAGCGTGAGCAGCGTCTTCTTGCCCATTGCTTGGCGTGGCTCCGAAGCCTCTCTTCTTTGAAGGGAGCATTGCCCTTGTTTTGGTTGCCACATGTTGCGAAGGATGAAGAGAAACATCACACAAACACACAGAGTGACTCAGGTAAAGAGAAATCCAACATGAAGGAGGTGGTGCTGTGTGACAAAACCGGCAGGCAGCCTGCAGTTGTAGAGCACCGATACGATTTGTATTGTTTGTCCCTCTCTGACTGGAATGAGGCGCATCGCTTTGTCAAAGGGCCTGCCAAAAGCCTGGGAGAACCTTGAGAAAGTGCCAAGCAGGGGGGCCGTGAGCTTGACGTGCCTCGACATGTTCCAGCTTGTACTAGTGAGCTAGTGTTCTCAACGGTGTTCAACAGGGCATTTGCAATTCGCGAGGTACCGCTGCATCCCTGAAGACCGGAGCATTCCTTTCCGAAGACAACTACAGATGCGACTTGATTTAGAGGAAGCCGCAAGGCCTTCTGAAGCTGCCCCCTAGCCTTGCATAGCCTTGCTTGTCGGCTTGACTGTGCCCAGGCAATTTGGTGGGTGGAAGCTTGGGCCCATCTCAAAGCAGTCCATGCACCTTTGCCTGCAGGATCTTCTTGGTTCGGGGTTTCAAGGCGAGGAGTAGCTTCATGGACTTGGTCTCTGCAAGGATGTGGTGCGCAAGTACCTCGGAAGTGCCTGCAGAAGTACTGCAGTTGTTCCACGGTGCAATGCGGGACTCGAACTCAAGCTGGAACCCAGACGCAGGTGCAAGCGTGGACCCCGGTTTCGATCTGCTGGCAGGTCAGGTCAGCAAGACTGCACTTACACGGCAGGACCTTTTGCAAGCCTTGGTTTCTTGGGGATTTCTGCCAGCGGAAGAGCAAGAAGAGGAAGAGGTCTTGCGTCGGGCAGATGAAATTTTTGACTTCTTCGTCCCTGGGCGACAGAAGTATTTCTCCCGGCGGGAATGGACAATTCTGGAAGACTTGTGGCGGGAAACGCAGCAGCAGATCCATGACTTGGCGCGTTTCGCCGCACGTAAGTTCGACTTCTCCAGCAACATGCTAGATGCTCGCCCACGTTCAACTAAGTCTTGCTGTTTCCCTGACTGAGTTGTTGCAAAGTCACGTTAAGATTTGACTGGCGTTTTTTCAGGATAAGCTTTGGTCTTGCATCAGTACGGGGGAAGAGAGACTTGACTCGGCATCGTGGCTGCAGGCAATCAAGGACCGCAACGGTGTATCATCCAATTGTCAGCTGAGATACGTAGCCTGAACCCGAAACGAACCTTACAATTTCATTTGCCATTTTCATGGCTTTTGATTCGTAGGCTCTTGTCTCAAACATGTTTGCCCTGGCGAGGAGAAGCTGGACTTCCACGGTCCCGTAGATGAGGTGTTTGTTGTTCTGGACAAGGCATCATGAGCAGGGATGTAATGCGGAGTTCAGGGGACGCTTCCTTCTGCTTCCAATTCTTTGCGCTGCAAAGTGTATGTAACTCTCGGAGCAGGTGCTTGGGTCAGGCCTAGCTGCTGGCGACAAAGACAAATGATGTCATGCCTTTAAATGATCTGATTGTAGCGGTTTCAGAGTGCAGCCCTCTAAATGGTTAGAACGTCAGGGGAGTTTAATTTTTGTCATCGTTTGATTTGAAGTGAAGGCAGAAGGATACGATTCTGGTTCACATTGCGCAAAGCTTTTCAAGTCCAGTGAATGTGCAGATACAGGCAAGCTGTCTGCTAGAACATGTTCTAAATCGCTTTGAGCAAGCATCAGGCTGGCAAAGGCGAAATTCCCGCCGGTCAACTGGAGGATTTGGATGCAGCGCTCGGAGATTACCCTGCAGTTTGCCAGGGACAGCGAGTCCTGGCGTGCATTCTTGTTGCTCAGGGATGCTTTGGGTTGATTTCCGTCATGTAGGTGTCGACGTCTTAACCTCTATCAGACTTCGCCAAGTTTGCTGCTGTCCAAGACTCCAAGGTGTCTCAGAGTCGTTTCGCCAGAAAATCAAGGGTGCACAACAGTCCCTGCGGCGTTCATGAAGCTATCCAGGGCCGTCATGATTCAAGATCGCGGGTGTTGCAGCGGGGCATCTGATGCCATCTTTCACACGATTTGTGCATCAGCAAGGGGCGAAGCATGACCTAGAAGTTGGCTGCTATCATGCAAAACATGGGATAAGGCTGGCTAGCAACACAGGATCCAAGGAGTCCTACCTTGCGCCTTGCGCTTGACCCCGGGTGCCCCCTGGGTCATGATATAGATTTTAACTACGTGCTGGACCGATACACGGCAGAACAAGCCGCATCGGCCAAGCACGTTGGGGTGGGAACTGTGCAGGCCTATCAGGGGTCACACTCTACATAAAGCCTAAAAGCGTGCTGTGCCAAACTAGGATGGGTGATCCACCCTTTGAAAATTGAATTGTGGCTGCTGCAAACGCAGCGCGACGGAAGAACGTTAATGCCCTCGTGCGCTGCCATGTGTGCCAGCATGGCATGCGCACAGACGTCGAAGATTTAGCGGATGAGCACCATGTGAGCTGGCAAAACGCCGCATGCAACGGTGTCGGGCCGAGTGCCCGCAAAGTCATGAGCGGGCAGTTTAAGCCCTGGCAGAAGCCAGCAAAAGTCTGCCTGACAGCCAGCATCATCTCCCTTCTATGCGCTAAAGTTGTTTTTTTGTCTTGCCTCTCTCTCCCTCTCTCTCCCTCTCTCTCCCTCTCTCTCCCTCTCTCTCCCTCTATCTATCTGCCCTTTACCGCCTTGATCATGTTGCCGTCAATAGTCTTGGAATTGTATGGCTCTGGGTCAGCTGTTCTGCAGATGTGTCAGACCCGTCCTCCTACTCGACTGGCTTCAAAGTCTACAGTACTCCGTAGCCTCTCCGCGCGGTGTGCCTGGTGGTAGACAAGGCCGCAACGTCAATACATCATGAGAACCCCATGTCGGGACTGTTGCTGCTTGGATGTTGCGAGGAGCACGGCGGCATGGCCGGCAACAAAGTGCACAAACTAGTTCAGGCTGTGACGCATCGTGCAATGGCTGGCCGAGGCAAGGCAAAGGCGCCAGATTCTGCTGCCGACCGTTTTGGCCCGGTTCCCAACATTGCCCTCTACCAGTGAAACGAGCCAGGCTTGCAATTTCAGGTGCTGGCTCTCGCCTACTTCTCCTCGCCAGCATTCGTTCCAGCGCCGCCGGAAGGTGCAAGAGCTGCCTTCGCTGATTTGTCGGTTCCCTGCTGATATCACCTCAGAAGCTGATTCAGGCAAGGAGGTGCCGAAGCAGGCCGTGTGCAATCATTTGCAAGTAGCAATGAAAAGATAGCTGGCCGCTGAATCTTGCCGGGAAGGTATCACACCAAGCAGCTTTGGGTGCAGCAGCGCTGTTTGCCAGACTCTTTGGAATCCATTGAGATGAGGGTTCAGCAATGATGATGATGATGATGATGATGATGATGATCATGATCATGATCATGATCATGATGATGCTGATGCTGATGAAGATTGATGGTGATGATGCTGATGCTGATGATGATGATGATGATGATGATGTTGTCATGTCCTGTCATGTGCTTGTGACCGTAATGTGATGCAAATCTCTGCAAAGCTAGCATGGAATTTGGTTTGTTCTTGCCTTTGCCTAAGGCCCTCACAGCGCCAGCCCATGCAGTTGATGATCCGCTGGCACATGGAGCTCCAGGAGCCACGATCTTGGACTGCCTGCGTACAAATCGCGTCACAAATCCAAAGAAGCGTCCCAAGCAGCAGACCCAGAGATGAATTCAGTTTGGGGATGTGATTTTGGGACCGTTCGAACATGTCTAGGCCAGATGTACGGTGATGTACTCCGTTGACACAGCTTTAGGGATGCTTTGGAATTTCAGCAAATTTTAGCAGCCAAAGAGAAGCTTGGCAGTTGCAGTTTAGGGTTCTTGCTGTACAGACCAAGGTTATGGATGCCGGAGATTTGCAGGGCTGGGCTGAGAGAGCTGCCTTTGGCGGACTGCTGGAAACTGCCTTGGAAATAGGAGGACGTAGCCTTGAGGCATGGGATTGGATCTACCGAAATCTTTGAGGTGAGCACGATGTTGGCTTGGTGGCGCGGCACCTTGGGTAGCGGACAGGCAGCGCATGGCAGCGCCACACGCCTTTCACGCGAGCTGCCCCTGTCAGCCTAGCCTTGCCCCACAGGCTTCGGAAGAGGGGAAGCCTCCCTCGTTTTACGCACCTTGCCCTGACTTGACAGACTTGCAAGAGGTTGGCCACGGCTGTGCGTAACTTCAGGCCATGTCCTTCGCAAATCTCGCCCTTGTTGCCTGTGACTTAGGGTTTCGAGACGGGACTGCTAGCTTGACCTACCAGCATGACAGTTAGCTGTTACCGCAATTAGTGAGGTGCTGTTGTCTAACCGCTGGCTCGAAAGTGGCTTTGCACCCAGAGCTTCGGCTGCCTCGTCTGCCGGCCTTAGAGAGTTGCTGTGGAAAGCCAAGGTCACTTCCCGCTTTCAAACATGTACGAGTCTCTTAGCTTTCTTGCGCGGCCTGCTCAGAGCAAAATATACCATGCCGTGAACGGCGGCTCTTTGCTGTAGCAACTGCGGCAAGGTGGGGTGTTACTGCAGTGACACTCTACTTCAGCGCCATGGGCCTGGTATCTGGTCCAACGCGTCTGTTCGCATTATTCTTAGGACCATCCCAATGTTCAGATTCCTAAGGCAACTCAGACAGCACAGGGCGAGGAGCTGAAAGCGTTTGACACGCAAGCCAACTCGCAGTCCTCGCAGGCAAGCTGCCTTTGGTATCTTGTGGTGAAGTGAGCCCTCTGATGCCCTTTGTACAAGCATGCCTCAATGGCTTCCGTTCAGAAAAGAGGGGTATGATTCATCGACCACTGTTGGGCAATCATGCATGCTGCATGCTTGTAGAAACTGTCTGGGACGCCAAGTACTGGTTGAGGCTCGAAAGGAAAAAGCGTGTGGCAAGAAAAAGTTGTCGCGAGCAAAATCGTGACGTTGGCAAACTCCAGTGCAAGTCCTGGGAGTCCTGAAGTCTCGCGAGGAGCTTTGATTAGGGGCCCATTTTATTCGTTTAGGAAAGCTTCAAAGACAACACTTCACTTTCTGATGCTCACCACAAGCGCTGTAAGTTGGAACGAAAGCCGAGAATCAGGTTCGTAAGCTCCACAAGCAAATTCCTTGCTGCAGAGAAGCGTGACAATTTTGATCTTTTCTCAGTTGATGTGCGGAGTTGTGGCAGGCAAAGCAGGTCACCAGCGACATTGCTGTTGCTTCGACTGACTTCACATGTGCAGAAGTTGAAGACGAGGGTAGTTGAAAGCAGAAAGCAAAGGCTGTTTGGGCATCGCCCGTGGCTCTTGGCATTGTCGCCTTTGCCCAGTTCTCACTGCCCAAGGCCTGGTGGCCTGGTCTCAGGGTTTTGCAAAAAGGTTGGGGAGATGAAGCCAAGATGTTGCAGGCACTGCAGAAGGCATCTGCATTAGTACCTGCCCTTCAGCCGCAGGCTTAGCTGTCACACGGTCCTGCGTAGGCATTATGCCTGGCCAAACTTGTCACTCTGCCATAGGATTCCTTGTGAGCCACACGACGAAGAGTAGGGAGCCAGAAATTTGCGGCACCAGCAGGTCCAACTGGCTCGTGATGCACGTGTCAGTTTGCAGCCCAGAGATTGCTTCCGGCATGAGGGTACACTATCAACAAGTCTGCTATCAACATGCAACAGTCACTGCCTGCGAACCGATCTGAGCGGCGCGGAAGGGTGTTTTTCCTTCAGCTTCATAGCGTAAGTGCTGCCCAATAGACTGTTTGATTTCACTGGCTGCCAGATCCAGCAATGCAAGGTTGTGATGTGTTCCTACGCCACACTTATGTTTGGATCAGTCCTGTGTCCGCGCCTTTGTTTGCTGTTGCCGTTGCAGCGTGTGGGACAGCATTGGAAACTGGTTCGAGGCATGGCTGTACTCGCTTTGAGTCAGCCAAAGGACAGCCCGATCACAGCTGTTCGTGAGGCTTGGGAGCTTGGACCAGGGATTCAAAGATAATCAAGATTAGTAATGATAACAATAATAATAGTAATAAGAATAGTTCAAGATATTATTGCAAAATTCCAGCAAGAATTTGTCACGTGCAGCAGGCCGTGCTGCCGGCATTGCAGGGCATTGCCAACGGCTTGCAGTGGCGAGCCTCAGTTTTCTCAGCTGCCATCAGCCTGGCAGCTTGGGCAGGGGCCGGCAGCTAAGTTTGCTTTGAGGCCGCAGCCAGCTGTTGCCACTGCTGCTGGGCAGGCCAGCAATCGCATGTTGAATAGCCTGCAATGGCAAAAGCATGTAGGACGCAAGGCCTCCCCTGACACATACAACCGGGTTGACTCGTAGCAGCTTCATGTACAATTCAGTTCATCGAGCATTAGTGCAACATCATGTTGTGCGCATGATATGGCCTTTGCTCTCTTGCAAGCCCTTGCTTGCCATTGCAGACAAGCTTATAAATCAGCCAGCCCAGCACAGATGAGCGCAGCATGTCAACAGGCTGTAAGCAAGAGGCACCTTGCTGAAAGTTGCCCATCCTGTTAGGAGAGCAAAGTTGGTGGAGAGTATTCAGTGAAGACTCTTCTGTTTGGATGCCAGTCGCCAGCCGTGGCCATGACTGGCACCACCGGCCTGGATGCCGGCAACACGGCAGCTGGACAGGCAGAGCGCCAGGACAGGACGCAGGCGAGCATGTCCTGGAGGGAAAGAAGCTTACATGCATGCGGAGTGTGCACATATTGATCGTCTTCACTTGAGCCAGGTCGCAGTGGCAAGCTCAAGTGCAGGTGCTGCGGGTAGCGTCATTGCCTCACCAACGTAGCGGCAAGCTTTGCTCTGTGTAGCTGAACACGACAACAGAGAGTCTCAAGAGGCATGATCTGAGGTCACAGTTGAGTTCACTTCCTCTTCTGGATCAGCCGTCCTGTCAGAGGACACTGCAGACAAGCTGCATGAAACCATGAAACGCTTCTAGATTCTAGTTAGCATTGTAAGCGCGTGCTGACCCTTTCACCAGCTACATTGCATGTTCAACACTGAAAAAGGCTTCTTCATCAGAGAAGCCGCTAAGTGGTCATTTAAGTTTCTTTGAAGCGCAGCTAGTAGGCGTTGTGACTCACAAGAGGATGACTCCCATAGTCGCAAGGATGACCAGCTGGCCATTACGTTGGATGACTTGGCATACCGATCGCTCCTGCTGGGCTTCGGCTTCCTGTTCCCCACTTAGAGCTTTTTGGGTTGAAGCAAGTATCGCAAAGTATGAAGACACTGGACATCCCCCAGGACCGTCGGAATCGTTTCTGGAGCGGTCTGGGCAAACGAAGCCTGGGGCAACTATTGGAGCTGGGATCCGAAGGAAGCTGGACACCGACTCATAGAAAGCTTGTTTTTTTTTTTTTTTTTCTTGGGTTGCTGTTGAGGAACCTGAATCAGGTTGCCACCGTAAGGAAGCCCTACCGGTA